CCCAGATATTCATCAACAAATAAATGAATAAACACACTTTACACATACGTACTGGCTTTTCCAGTAGTCAGGCAGGATGTGAGAGTTGGACCATAAAGAATGCTGAGCACTGAGGAATTGATGTTTTGAATTGTGCTGGAGAAGACTCTTGAGAGTTCCTTGGACTCAGTCAATCCTAAAGGAAATCAACCCTGAATCTTCATTAGAAGGATGGATGTTGAAGCTGGAGCTCCAGTACTTTGGCCACCTGATGAGGTGAGCTGACTCACTGGAAAAGACCCTGTTGCTGGGAAAGATTGAGGGCAGGAGGATAAGGGGAAGACAGAGGATGAGAGGTTGAATGGCATCACCAACTCAATGGACGTGAGTCTGAACAAACTCTGGGAGATAGTCAAGGACAGGGAAGTTTGGTGTGCTGCAGTCCATGGGGTTGCAAAGAGTTGAACACAACTTAGCAACTAAACAACATAGCAACAATACATACACACAATGGAAAAATACTTTGCAATGAAAAGGAATGAATAACTGATGCATGAAAGCATAGATGAATCTCAAAAGAACTACGTTGAGTGAAAAAAAGACAAAAGAGTACATACGGTAAAACTGCATTTACATAAATATCTAGAAAATGCAAACTAATCTATAGTGGCAGCAGACCAGAGGCTGCCTGGGGATGGAGAGGATGTGGGGAAGGATGAGAGAGAGAGAGAACAGAGGGTACTGAAGATGTTCAGTCTCTTGATTTTGGTGACAATTTCATAGCAAAACATCAAAGTGGACACTTTTAAAATGTGAAATTTATTGTGTCAATTCTACCTCAATAAAGCTGTTACAAATAAAATTTGTGAGAAAAAAACAACAAGCTAGAATTGTAAATAGGGGCTTCCCTGGTAGCTCAGCTGGTAAAGAATCCACCTGCAATGCAGGAGACCCCGGTTCAACTCCTGGGTCAGGAAGATCCACTGGAGAAGGGATAGCCTACCCATTCCAGTATTCTTAGGCTTCCCTGGTGGCTCAGCTGGTAAAGAATCCGCCTGCAATGTTGGAGACCTGGGTTCAATTCCTGGGTCAGGAAGATGCCCTGGAGAAGGGAATAGCTACCCACTCCAATATTCCGGCCTGGAGAATTCCATGGACCATATAGATCATGGGGTCACAAAGAGTCGGTATGGTGCGGGCAAATAAGAAGTGTGGCATTATTCATGCTCTCTTGGGGAAAAAAATTCCTAGTATTCATGAGACAGAGCGAATGATACAAGGTAGTGATGATTATGGGTATCTGGAAAGGCTTTTTGTTCCCTCATTGCTCTTTGTCTATTTCTATAGGTAATTCTGTGGGGTTGTCCTTATCTCTGCACTTCTTTTTAAACAACAACCCCATTTTTTTCTGATATATATTTTTTTCTTCTGGACCAAAGTACTTAACCAGCTTGATTGAAGCTTTGATGCCTGGAAGCAACCATTTGATTTTTATTTGTGCACCTATCATTTATGTGCAGATTTTGCTGTGTAGATTTTACTGCTTAGCTTTCAAAGACAATCTCAGATACACCCATACCTGGGTTGTTGTTGCTGTTTTTTTTTTTTTTTTTGTCTGTTTGTGTCAATTAAAGAAAATAGTCACAACCTAGAGGTTGAGAGTTACATTTTATTTGGTGGGAATTTTTAGGACTTCAAGCCCAAGAGACAGGTTCTCAAGTAGCCCTAAAAGAACTGCTCCAAGGAGGTGGGGGAAGGAGTCAGATTTGCATTGATCCTCGGTGATCAATGAGGAATGATTGATCAGAGAAAAATGATCAGAGAAAAACAATAGAATGGGAAAGACTAAAGATCTCTTCAAGAAAATTAGAGATACCAAGGGAACATTTCACACAAAGATGGGCACAATAAAGGAGAGAAACAGTATGGGCCTAACAGAAGCATAAGATATTAAGAAGAGGAGGCAAGAATACACAGAAGAACTATATGAAAAAGATCTTAATGACCCAGATAACCACGATGTGAACACTCACCTAGAGCCAGATATCCTGAAATGTGAAGTCAAGAGGGCCTTAGGAAGCATCACTATAGACAAAACTAGTGCAGATGATGGAATTCCAGCTCAGCTATTTCAAATCCTAAAAGACGATGCTGTGAAAGTGCTTCAATCAATATGCCAGAAAATTTGGAAAACTCAGCAGTGGCCACAGGACTGGAAAAGGTCAGTTTTCATTTTCATTCCACTTCCAAAGAAAAGCAATGCCAAAGAATGTTCAGACTACCACACAATTGCACTCATCTCACATGCTAGCAAAGTAATGCTCAAAATTCGCCTAGCCTAGGCATCAGCAGTATGTGAACCAAGAACTTCCAGATGTTCAAGCTGGATTTCAAGCTGGATTTAGAAAAGGCAGAGGAACCAGAGATCAAACTGTCAACATCCATTGGATCATAGAAAAAGCAAGGGAATTCTGGAAAAACATCTATCTGTGCTTCATTGACTACGCTAAAGCCTTTGACTGTGTGGATCACACAAACTGTGGAAAAATTCTTAAAGAGACGGGAATACTAGACCACTTTACCTGTCTCCTGAGAAATCTGTATTCAGGTCAAGAAGCAACTGTTAGAAACTGACATGCAACAATGGACTGGTTCCAAATTGGGAAAGGAGTACATCAAGGCTATATATTGTCATCCTGTTTATTTAACTTGTACTCAGAGTACATCATGCGAAACGCTGAGCTGGATGAAGCACAAGCTGGAATCAAGATTGCTGGGAGAAATATCAATAACCTCAGATATGCAGATGACACCACTCTTATGGCAGAAAGCAAAGAGGAACTAAAGAGCCTCTTGACGAAAGTGAAAGAGGAGAGTGAAAAAGCTGACAAACTCAACATTCAAAAAACAAAGATCATGGCATCTGGTCCCATCTCTTCATGGCAAATAGATGGGGAAACAATGGAAACAGTGAGAGACTTTATTTTCTTGGGCTCTAAAATCACTGCAGATGGTGACCGCAGCCATGAAACTAAAGACACTTGCTCCTTGGAAGAAAGGCTATGACAAACCTAGGCAGCATATTTAAAAACAGATATTACTTTGTCAACAAAGGTCTGTCTAGTCAAAGCTGTGGTTTTTCCAGTAGTCATGTGTGGATGTGAGAGTTGGACCATAAAGAAAGCTGAGTGCTGAAAAATTGACGCTTTTCACCTGTGTTGTTGGAGAAGACTCTTGAGAGTCCCTTGGACTGCAAGGAGACCAAACTATTCAATCCTCAAGGAAATCAGTCCTGAATATTCATTGAAAGGACTGATGCTTGAAGTTCCAATGCCTTGCCCACCTGATGTGAAGAGCTGACCTATTAGAAAATACCCTAATGCTGGGAAAGATTGAAGGCAGGAGGAGAAAGTGACGTCAGAGGATGAGATGGTTGGATGGCATCACCGACTTGATGGACATGATTTTGAGCAAGCTCTGGGAGTTGGTGATGGACAGGGAAGCCTGGCATGCTATGGTCCATGGGGTCACAAGTCGGACATGGCTGAGCAACTGAACTGAACTGAATGCAACAAAGGGCAGGTAGTCTTAACCTCAAAAGTATTTTTGTGAATTAAAGAAAACCACATATCTCAAGTTAAGGAATTTAGCATTTTTCTATGTGTGGGAAAATGCAAGAGTTTGGGGTCACTGAAATAATTCCTTTCATTTGCATCTCAGCTATCTCAGGCCAGTATCCTGCTTTCCTCAGTATTCACTGTTTCAGTTTCAGTTCAATCTCTCAGTCATGTCCAACTCTTTGTGACCCCATGGACTACAGCACACCAGGCTTCCCTGTCCACCACCAACTCCCAGAGCTTGCTCAAAATCATGTCCATCAAATTGGTCATGTCATCCAAGCATCCCATCCTCTGTCGTCCCCTTCTCCTCTTGCCTTCAATCTTTCCCAGCATCAGGGTCTTTTCCAATGAGTCAGTTCTTTGCATCAGGTGGCCAAAGTATTGGAGTTTCAGCTTCAGCATTAGTTCTTTCAATGAATATTCAGGACTGATTTCCTTCAGGATGAACTGGTTGGATCTCGTTGCAGTCCAAGGGACTCTCAAGAGTCTTCTCCAACACCACAGTTCAAAAGATCAATTCTTCGACTCTCAGTTTTCTTTATAATTCAACTCTCACATCCATACATGACTATTGGAAAAACCACAGCTTTGACTAGACGGACCTTTGCTGATAAAGGAATGTCTCTGCTTTTTAATATGCTCTCTAGGTTGGTCATAGGTTTTCTTCCAAGGAGCAAGTGTCTTTTAATTTCATGGCTGCACTTAGCATTTGCAGTGATTTTGGAGCCGCCAAAAATAAATGTAAATAAAAATAAAAAATGTAATAAAAATAAAATATGTCACTGTTTCCCCATTTATTTGCCATGAAGTGATGGGACCAGATGCCATGATATTAGTTTTCTGAATGTTCAGTACTCACTAAAGAGCAGCTAAAGCCGGATCACAGGTATTATTTCCTTCCCAATTGCCCTGGAGAACTGGAATCATTGATTACTGTGACATCCTTGTTTATTGATCCGACAAGAAATGGTTCATTTCTCCTTTGTTTTAATTCTTGTTTGGAAAGAGAACTTCACTCTCTCTAGAAAGTAGAGCAGATCCAGTCCCAGTCCAGGACGTGGGCATAATGCCTGATTCCTCGAAAGCGTGTGTACAAGGGAGCCTGTGAACGCTGCTCTCCACGGCAGTCTGCGAGAATTTCTCAGCGACCATCTACTCAAGCTCACCTTGCAAAGCAGAGAGAATGCTCTACATCCCCATACCTCATCCCTGGAACCCCAACTCTCGAGCAGATCGAAAGAAGCAACAAAGCATGCGAAGGGCGAAGCTGACGTCTAAGCTGGGCGTGTCCCATGCAAGCAAGCAGTGGAAACGCAGGAGCGTCTGCCTGGGTACTTGCCCTAGAGGGGCGGGGTTAGCCGGCGGGAAGCGGAAGCTGCGCGGGGCGCTGGGTCCTCGGCCATGGCTCACAGGCCGAAAAGAACGTTCCGGCCGCGCCGAGCCGACTCTAGTGACAGCGACGGCGCCCAGGAGACATTTGCTGAACCCGGGGAGACTGGGGAGCAGGCGGCCCGGGGCCCTGCGGTGGAAGGGCCGCCGTCTGGAAGAGGCCACGCGGAGGTGGCTGAACTGCTCCGCCGGGGCCGGGGCCGCCGCCGCGGCCGGGCCTGGGCTAGTTCGCGGCGCGCCGCGACAGCGGCTCCGCGCTTGGACGGATCCTCAGACGTCCCAGGTGACGCTGGGCAGCAGAGTGGGCGCCCGGAGCGGGGATTAGGGAGGGTGAGGTAGAAGTCCGCGGTGCTATCTAAAGCTTTCTGTAACGCGGTGCCTACCACAGCAGCATTGAATCGCGGAGATGCGTGCCTGTGTACACTGGCCTGCTGCCTGCATGTCCACATTGGGCCGCTTGAGGGCGTAGAAAGAACTCTGCGCGATTTGGGCTTGTGTTTGCATCGTCAACTGAACCCTCACCAGTGACTGCTTTTTGATGCTTACGGAGAACCTAAATTGTCACCCAAGAGTTTTAAAATTCCCAATACTCTTAGGTAGGCGGAAGTGCTTTCTGTCCCCATTTCTTTTTCTCGAAAACACTTAACCAAACCAGTACGCTGGGAAAACTTAGGTGACAGACTTCCGGGCTTTTTTTTTTTTTTTTTAATCGGCTATTTAAAGAAAAGATAAGCGTAGCAGTATGTGTCACTAACAGTAGATTGGGCTTCCCTTGTGGTTCAGCTGGTAAAGAATCCGTGTGCAATGCGGGAGACCTGAGTTAGATCTCTGGGTTGGGAAGATCTCCTGGAGAAGGGAAAGGCTACCCACTCCAGTATTCTGGCCTGGAGAATTCCATGGAGTCATGGGGTTGCAAAGAGTGGGACACGACTGTGCGACTTTCTCTGACTGGTGACGCTGTAGACTACCAATAAAGTTAAATGCAATACAGCAATTTTGAAGTACCTTTGCCTTCTTGAAAATAGGATTCAGGCAGCATAAAGTTGTTTACATGAGATGTGTTCTAGTTTGAATTGGAGTTAAATACGAATATAGTTGGAAATAAAGCTATATAGTTAGAGAAAGAAATAAAAACACAGAAACAGACTTGGAAGGAACTTGTTACGTGGTGTTTTGAAGTATAAATACATTAACTTCAGACTCAGACACACATAAAAATATTTGAGATTATATTTCAGTCTAAAAGGAACTTCTAAAAATATTCCATCGTGAACTTAGTAGTAAAGTCTCTAGAAGCAATCAACTTCTCCAGGTAAATGGCACTTTTTACCTACTTTGTCTGCAATCCATGGCACTCCAGAATACATAACACCCAGGTTTAATGAATTGAGGTTAATCCCTGCCCTGTTATTATGAGTAGAAAATCCAGTTTTGTCACCTGTGGATAATGTCACCAGTAGAATGATAATTGAACATTTCTGATTTGTCACAGGATGAAATACCATGTAGAAAACAAACCTATGTTGCTAATATGTTACATGTTTTTTAAAAAATTATTTTCAAGATGGTATAATCTCAAAGTATCTGTAAAAAAAACTATATATATATATATATAATTTTTGGTTATATAGTCTTGAGGTAGGAATATTTTCACCACAGTATTTTTAGTCCAAGTGATTTTGTTGATTTCTTAGTCATTGTTAATAATCACCTGTTTGTCTGATGTTTTCTTGAGTTTTAAAAATATTTTTGTGCTTTATGTAAGTCATCTGGTTAAACTTTGGATCTCAAACTTTTTGTTCTTACCCTTTCGGTCTTAAAGTTTACCCTTTATGCTCTTTAAGAATAATTAAAGATCCCAAAGAACCTTTGTTTCTGTGGATTGTATCTGTAATGTTTATTGTTGTTCAGTTGCTAAGTCATGTCTGACTCTTTTGTGATCCCAAGGACTATATAGCCTTTCAGGCTTATCTGTCCATGGGATTCTCCAGGCAAGAATGCTGAAGTGGGTTGCCGTTTCCTCCGGGGCATCTTCCCGATCCAGGGATCGAGCCTGCGTCTCCTGCTTTGGCTGAGGATTCTTTATCACTGAGCCATCAGAGAGGAAGCCCCTATAAGGTTTACCATATTAGAAATTAAGATACATTTTTATTCTTTTTTAAAGTTAACTCATTACATGTAAGGGTAATAAACATTTTTAAGAAAAATAACTGTTTTCCAAAAAATAGTAAGAATGACATTGTTTTCCGTTTACAAATGTCTTTAATGTCTGGCTTATCAGAAGACAGCTGAATTCTGAAAGCTGTCCTGCATTCAGTCTGTTGAAATATATTGTTTTGTTTGAACATGTGAAGAAAACCACAGATAGGTGATTAAGAGTATTTAATAGCCTTTTTAGTTCTTTGAGAGTATTCTACTTTAGAATTACAATGAAGCTCAAAAGGTAATAGGTTTTCAAAGTTTAGTTTGCAATGGATGTCAACTGAAAAAAACACACAATGTAAGAGTTGTGAGTTAAGTTTTATTTGGGGCAAAATGAAAACTAGCCCAGGAGACAGCATTTCATATAGCTCTGAGAAACTGCTCCAGAGATGTAGGGATGAGGTCAGTATTATATATGATTGTAGTGAAGAGGAGTTGTGCAGTCAAAAACACATTTTAGCAGAAGCTTGCTGCTAGTCATGAGGAATAAATGTCACCATTAATGATTTTAGTGCTTTTCTAGATGTGAGGGGATGCAAGAACTAGGCTCATAAAATCTCCTGAAAATACCTGTTTGAAAGCCTGTCCTGCCAGTTTTCCCAAAGCAGAGAGTGCTTCATTCCTGATCTCTACCGTGAACTCCTTTCAGGATGTGTTGAAGATCAGTAACTATAGCAGTTTGTGATTTAATCCTTGTACAGGCAGAAGGCAAGTGCCAATTTCTACGTGAGGTGTGGAAGCTGAAACCGTATCATTTTGTTATGCTCGATGAGATTAAAATCCACCCGTGTGTTTTGCGCTCTGAGTGGATCTTTTACCCATGCATGATTGGTAGCATCTTCGTTCCCTGCGCAGGGTTCAAACCTGCACTCCCTTCACTGGAAGGCTCAGTCTTAGCCACTGGGCTGCCAGGGAAATCCCTCAGGAATATTTTTAAGATAGAGTCGTTACTTATGCAATCTTAAATCTTAAGGTTGTTCACAAATAGTACGAAATAATTGTGAACCAACAGGTCCTTTTTTGTCAATAATACCATGAATTCCTTTACGTTTTGCTCATTCAGTCCTAATAACACTTCTGTGGGGTGTTCTCTCTTAATACTATCTTTGTTTATTGATTAATTGACTGTGTCCTTTCCAGAATCACACAGTGGAAATAGATCCATGATTTAGTTTGAGCCTACAGTGCCCATTATAGTACCTCTTACCGCCAGCCTACATCCAAGAGTTTGATTTCTCCGTTTAGTAACTTTGTGATACTGGACATGTTATTTAGCCTTTTCAGTCCCCAGTGTCCTCATCAGTAATAGCATTTACTTTATTGAATTGTGAGAATTAAATGAAGTATATTTTGTAAAACAGACTTCAGTATGCTTAGCACATAGCAAGTATACGTTAAGTGTTCTTTTCTTTATCTACTTATTTACTACCACTGTTAGTCTTTTCTCTTTTAAATATTCCTTCATTTTTTTTGTCATTTACTTTTTTCTCTTTTTGTTTTTCCCTTCCCTCTTTTTGTTGCATTTTTTTAATAGTATGTATTTCATGTTATTTCACTAGTTAAGTAGATAATGCAAATAGGATATATTGTTGCATATTTATAGACTGTTGATTTCACAAAGAAAGGAAGTTAAAGAAAGGTCTGCATATCTACTTTAAATATGTGAAGTAAAATTAAAACACCGTATTTTATATATGCTATGTGTTGTGTAGAATTTCAGTTATTGATTCCAGCATCCTGAATCTTTCTTGTTATATTCAAAAAATGTCCTGTTAGAATCCAGAATGGTTGATCTTTCAGCCGACGAAGAGGATGGAGCACACCATTCTTCAGAAAGTAAAGATGATCAGAGTTCATCTCCCAACGGCTCTACGACTCTGGAGGACGTGTTTTCATCAGTAGGTCAGTAATTTTTGTAATTCTGGTTAAGAATTTTACTTCTAATATTAGTATTTTTTCTATACCAGTGATTCCTGTTTTTCATAAAACTCTAGTGAAGTATGGGGCAAGTAAGTTATTACTAATGATTGTCAAGGGACCAAAATTGGCTGTCATTTCCATTACATAACATGCCCAAGGTCAGATGGGCTTATAAGAGGCAGCACTAGGATTCCAACCTAGGGAATCTGCTGCAGAGCCTATATCCTTTTTTGTTGTTTTGTTTCAGATTTATTTACTTATTTTATTTTATAATAGCAGTTGTTTTATTATGTCCCACAATTTTGTGGGTCAGGAATTTGGGCAGAGCTTAACAGAGATTAACTGTGTTGCATGTGGCATTAGCTGAGCAGTTTGGGGCTAGGGAAGGGATCTTGCCTTATACATCTCAGGTTCAGCATAATGTTTACCTGAGCAAAGTTAATGATCTATAAATGCTGAAAAAATTAATGATAGAGAGCTGAGTTCCACTCCTCGCTCTGCTTCTAAATAACTGAGTTAGTCTAAAAGGATATTGAACTACTCTGGGCCCTGGCTGCCTCAGAGTCTGAATTCTTAACCATTGTGCTCTACTGAGTGATTCATGCCATCTTTCAGTGTCTGAAAGATGGTAAGAATTTGTCTATGAGGATGTTTCAGGTACAGGATGCAGCATTATATAAAAACCTAGGGAAGATAACCAGAATAATGTGCAGAGAGCTAAAAAGTAGTTCTTGGGCTGAAAATGCTTGGTTAAGGTTTAAGAAAGAAGAAGAAAAAGAAAGTAAGGTACAGGTTGAAGTCAGATAATCCAGGGTTTTGAGGAAACTACTGAAAACTTTATGCAAATAGATGACATGACCATTTTTGTGTCTTAGAAAGATAATTCCATTCAAGGGTTGGCAAATTACCACTTGTTTGCCAAATCTGGCCCACTGTCTGCTTTTGTGAATAAAGTTTTATTAAAGCCATGCTCATTCAATTGTGTATTGTCTGTGGCTGCTTTTGCACTACAGTGGCGGAGCTGAGAAGTCATAACAGAGACTTATGGCCCAAAAAGCCAGAAATATTTCCTTGGTCCACTTTAATTCAAGATTCTTAACTTCTCTTGTGCTGTGGACTCTCTTCAGTCTCATAAAGCCTAAGACCCCTTCTGAGCAAAACAAAATGTATAGCTTTATAAAGAAAACAAACTAATTTGAAATATAATTGTTAATATATATTTTTAAAGATTTGTAATGTAGTAGCAAGTGCTTTATTACATATGAAATAATAAGAACCAGAAGTTCTTGTAATTTTTTTTCTTAAACAATTTCATTAAGCTACAGAAGTACTTAGTGATGAAGCAAGTATTAAGAATTGAAGCCTAGTAAACAAATAAAGTTTTTTCCAGACTCTAGATACAGTGCTGTCCAGTAAAACTTTCTGTGAAGGTCCTGTATCTTCACCATCCAGTACATTATCCACTAGCTACACGTGGCTGTAAAATTCTTGAAATGTGGCTAGTGTGACTAAGGAACTGGATTTTTAATTTGCTTAAATAGTCACATGTGGCTGGTGGTTACTGTATTTAACATGCTGCTGTAGAAAATGGCAGATTAGACAGGGTAAGGCAGTACTTGTAAAGTGTTGGTAGCACTGGGAACCTAAGGAGAGAAGGCAGAGTTTGGAAATGTATTGAATAGTTTTTGATCATAGTCCTTAAGGTGTTATTGAAAGATGAAAACTTGTCCTGCAAGGAACATTTTATTTTTTCTTTTATTCTGGAGAGGAAAAAAGAAGACATGAGATAAGTTTAAGGAAGTATATAGAAGATATAGTGCATTTATTTTCATTGTTGTTGTTGCTGTTCAGATGATATGTCTACTGAATGATCCAGTACTGGAATGTCTGCCTTGAGATATTCGTTGTTGCAGAGTGCTTACCAGTGGGGCATAGTATTAACCTCTATTTTTTTTAATTGAAGTATAGTTGACTTACAGTATTAGTTTCAGGTGTATAGCAAACTGAGTTATATATATATTTTTCAGATTGTTTTCACATTATAGGTTATTGCAAGATATTGCATATAGTTCCCTGTGCTGTACAGTAAGTCTTTATTGCTTATCTATTTTATATATAGTAGTTTGTATCAGTCTCATACTCCTAATTTATTTCTCCCCAACACCCTTTCCCCTCTGGTAAACATGTTTTTTTCCTACGTCTGTGAGTATTTTTTTCCTTCTGTTCTTGCCTCCTTTGTCAAGATTAATTGACAGTAGGTGTGTGGTTTTATTTCTGGGCTCTACTGTAGCTCTGTGGTATTATCTGAAGTCTGGGAGAGTTATGCTTCCAGCTTTCTTCTTTATCCTCAGGATTGCTTTGGCAGTTTTTTTGTGGTTCCTTATAAATTTTAGGATTATTTGTTCTAGTTCTATGAAAAAATGTCATCAGTAATTTGATAGAGATTGCATCAAATTTGAAGATTGCCTTGGATAATATCACCATTTTAATAATATTAATTCTTCAAACTCAAGAGCATGTGATATCTTACCCTTTCTTTGAATCATCTTCAATTTCCTTTATCAATGTTTTACAGTTCTTAGCATTTAGGTCTTTTATCTCCTTAGGTTTCTTCCTAGGATTTTTTTTTATATGATTTTAAATGAATTTGTTTACTTTCCCCCTCTGATATTTTATTGTTAGAGTAAAAAAATACAACGGATTTATGTATATTAATCTTGTAGCCTGGCTATCTTACTGAATTTATTTATTCTGATGGTTTTTATGTAGAATGTTTGGGGTTTTCCATATATCATGTATCATGTCATCTATGCAAAATGATAACTTCATCTCTTCAATTCCCATTTGGATATGTTTCATTTCTTTTTCTTGTCTGATTACTGTAACTAGGACTATCAAAACTATGTTGAATAGAAATGGTGAGCTATTTGTCTTACTCTGCGTAACTTACTTCATTTAGTATGATTATCTCCAGGTCCATCCATGCTGCTTGCTGTAAATGGTATTATTTCTTTGTTTTAATAAATATCACAGATATCATATGATATTGCTTATATGCAGAACTAAAAAAACAATTCAAATGAACCACTTATAAAACAAACACTCTCAAACTCAGAGAATGAACTTATGGATATCAGGGAGGAAGGGTGAGGGGGGTAGATTGGAAGTTTGGGACTGATGTGTATACACTGCTATATTTAAAATAGATAATCAACAAGGACCTACTGAATAGCACAGGGAACTCTGCTCAATTATCTGTAACAACCTAAATGGGAAAAGAATTTGAAAAAGAATAGCTACATGTATATGTATAACTGAATCACATCACTGTATATCTGAAACTAACAACATTGTTAATGAACTCTACTCCTATGTGAAAGTGTTAGTAGTTCTGTCATATCTGATTCTTTGCGACTCCATGGACTATAGCCCACCAGGCTCATCTGTCCATGGGATTCTCCAGGCAAGAACACTGGAGTGCATTGCCATTCCCTTCTCCAGGGGATCTTCCTGACCCAGGGATGGAACCCACGTCTCCCACCTTGCAGGCAGATTCTACACCATCTGAGCCACTGGGGAAGCCCATACTCCTATATGAAATAATAAATAAGTATATAAGAAGCACAATCCTTAGCTTTCATTCCTTGAAGAAAAACCAAGTACACATAGCACCGTTGTGTAGAATTATTACATTCCTTTAAATATAAACAGGGTTAAATCTTGTGATTATTTTATGAGAGGGTAATATGTTTTTCTCCTTTGGGGGCTTCCCAGGTGGTGCTAGTGGTAAAGAATCCACCTGCCAGTGCCAGAGATGTAAGAGACACAGGTTCAATTCCTGGGTTGAGGAGATCGCCTGGAGAAGGAAATGGCACTCCACTCTAGTTTTCTTGCTGGGAGACTCTCATAGACAGAGGAGCCTGCCAAGCTATAGTCCATAGGTCACAAGGAGTCAGACATGACTGAGCATTTGAGCAAGAACTATAGAACATATAGTCGTAGTCACCACCTTCAGCAGTGGTTTTACATTGCTTACTAGAGGCAAGGTGATAGAATGTAAAAGCTTGGTCTTTGGAGTCGGGCATATACACAGAGCACTGTTGTGTAGAGTTATTACATTTCTTTAAATATGAGCAGGATTAAATCTTCTGTGATTATGAAATGATAATATGTTTTTCTTCTTTGACCCAAGTTCTTCACAATGTATTAGAATAAATTCTGGATGTGTACTGATTAGGAAAAAAAAGATGGTAAGAATGGACATCCTTTTCTTATTCAGAACTTAGTGGAAAAACGTTCTTTTCATCGTTGAGTATGTTGTAGACTGTGGTTTGTCATAAATAGATTTTATTATATTGAGATACATTCCCTCCATACACACTTTGGTGAGAGTTTTTTATCATGAAAGGATACTGAAGTTTGTCGAATGCTTTTTATGCATCTTTTGAGATAATCATGTGAGTTTTTACTTTCCTTTTGTCAGTGTTGTGTATGACACTAATTTATTTGCATATATTGAACTATCCTTGTCACTCTAGGATAAATCCAACCTGATCATGGTGTATAATCTTTTTTATGTATTGTTGGGTTTGATTTGCTAATATTTTGCTGAGGACTTTTGTATCTATATTTATCAAAGATGTTGCACTGAATTTTCTTTTTTTTGGTAGTGTCTTTGTCTGGTTTTGGTATCAGGGTGATGGTGGCCTTCATAGAATGAATTTGGGAGTGTTCCCTTCTTTTCAGTCTCTCGGGAGACTTTGAGAAGGATAAGTTTAAGTTCCTCATTGTATATTCGGTAGAATTTCCTAGTAAAGCTGTCAGGTCCTGGGTTTTCATTTATATGGAGTTTTTTAAAAATTACTGATTCTGTTTCACTTCTAGTGATTGGTCTTTTCAAAATATCTGTATCTTTTATTCAGTTTTGGCAGGCTGTAATGTTTTAGAAACTTGTTCATTCCTTCTTGGTTGTCGAATTTGTT